ATTGAGGTTGACTGTCACTTTGTGAGGGAGAAGGTGCTGAATGGAGAGCTAGACACTACACATGTTAATACAGGAAATCAGTGGGCTGACTTATTTACAAARGGMTTGARTCGRGGAASARTGGACTACATATGTAACAAGCTGGGAGTATATGATTGAGGGGGAGTGTTAGCGTAAGGGCACATATGTCTTTTTAGTTAATTTTAATAATATAAATACTGCCTGGCCGACTGGGAGATGTTATGTTGAGTCTTCCAGTTCGAACCAGAATTTCTCCCTTCTCTTTCTCTCTTTTTTCCACCTTTCTCTTTCTACATAACTGATCTCAGACAGACAGAACTCTAAGGCAGAACCGAATCATAACAACCTGTATGCGAGAGACAGTAATTGTTCAGATCTTAGGTCTGCCTTTTCATCTTTGGACTTTAGAAGTTTTTGATTCTATAGCTTCTCTGTGCAAGGTGAGACTGGATGATTTTTTTTTTCAAAGATCTCCATTTAGCTGCAGTTTATCTAAGTATTGTGAACCCTGAAGATATCCCCCATTTAGTAAAGGTGCTGGTTGATGGAGTATTCTACTCAGCTTGGCTTGTGAGGCCATTGAAGCTGCCTTGTGGAGAGAGGGGAGAAGGAAGGAAGATGAGAAGGTAGAAGAAGACTGGTTATGTGGAAGTATGGGATTGGTTCATTCAAATTTGGGTGAGCCTTTCACCAATGTGATAAGTTGTGGGAGAAGGAATTAAAGGGGAGACACCAGCAACTAGATGGGAGGAATGAATAAGAGAAAAGGAAAAGGAAGCATGCCAAAGGTCCTATGTTCAGGTGCTGATAGATGCTGGCTGTAGGCAGACGTTAGGTTGGCAATTTTCACCAAAGAAGCAACTGAATAGTCAACTAGGAGTAACTGGGGTAAAACAAAGATTAAATATTCAAGGAGGTCAGTTGGTCAGGGGGGAGGGCCATGTGGGCACGATTAGAAAAGGTACCTGTTTATCTTCTCAAAATAAAGTAAATGGACCTTTATTAAACCAAGTGGAGTGTAGTTTGAATGGGCCCAAAGTACAGGAACTTGGAGCCCAAGAGGTGGAACGTGGGCTGGGCCGAGATAGTATTAAAAGTTCATGGGCCAAAATGTTAAAAGGTCTTAAAGAAGAACAAATGGGCCAGGTCCATGTATTTTTATGAAGACAGGGTCAGGTGACGATTTAAGTGGTCACATGGGACCTCTGGTGAGGCCAATGGTGGACATTAGTTCTGGTCCATCATTGTTCCCAAAGCAAAAAACAAAAAAACACACACACACACAGAGCCAAAGGATTTGGGGCGGGGAAGCTTGTTGCAGTGAAGACCTTTAGTAGCAGAGTATGTTGCACTAGAAAGATGCAATCCCATAAATCAGAAAATGTCTTTGGAAGGAGGTGAAGCAGAAGGTTCATTGGAGCTTGAGAGGAAGGTTCTGATTTGGATAAGACAGATATTTCGAGTATTGGGAGTGTTTGTCAGGAAAGAACTTCTGGTTTTTCCAGGGGGATGAAAGCTTCGGCATTGAGCAACTGTTTCTGGAGGAAGATAAAGAAGAAAGACCAAAAAGAAGGGGAAAAAGGAGGAATGTCAAAGAAAGAGGAAGTTGACAGAGGTTGAGAGATTAAATGTAGATGTGGCTGCAGATTTAGAGTTAAGTTCAAGGGGGAGAGAAGGAAAGACACAAAGTGAGGGAATGATTGCTTGGGGGTGGAATCTTTGAAGTGTTTCTATGAAGATAATTAGCTGGAATGTTAGAGGCTTGGGTAGTGCTAGGAAAAGGCGGGTAATAAAAGACCTGATTAGGAAACAAAATCTGGACATAATCATGCTATATGAAACAAAAGTGGTAGATTGGGATAGGAGATGGGTGAGAAGTGTATGGAGCTCTAGAGGGATAAGTTGGTCTTTTATACCCACATCGAGGGCTTTAGGGGGTATAGTGACAATGTCGACAAGGAGGTAGTGGAGCCACTGGAGGAACTAACAAGTTGGTTCTTGGTTTCGTTGAACTCAAGAGTTTGGGAGAAGAGTTTACTTGGGTATTGACAAATGTCTATGGTCCTAATTAGATATGGAGAGAGAGGTGAAATGTGGGAAGAGCTCTCTGATATGAGGGGTTTGTGGGAGGGTCCATGGCGCCTAGGTGGTGATTTTAATGTGATCAGATTTACATATGAGACAAATAATCCCACTCAAGCGGTCACAACTAGCTTCAATGAGTTCATTAATGAGTGATCTTTTCGAAATTCCCCTCCAGTAAACTATTTTCACTTGGTTCAATCTACAATCTCCCCCGAGGTGCTCTAAGCTGGATAGTTTCATCTTCAATTCTGTATGGGAAGAACATTGGATAGGGTTGTCAGCTAGAGCTTTGCCAAGAGTCATTTCAGGTCACTGCTTGGTTGGCATTGGATCTAAGAATTTTTGAGTGGTCCTAAACCTTTTAGATTTGAAAATATGTGGCTAACACATCTTAAATTTATTCATAAGGTTAAAGTGTGGTGGAATGAAGTGGTGGCAGCTCATTGTAAGGGTAGTAAGTTCCATAAGAAAATCCGAACGCTAAAAGGAAAAATTAAAGAGCGGAATAGGGAGCATTTTGGGAGAGTGGAGGAGAGGAAATTAAGTGTTATATAAGTCATTACTTGTAGATTAGTTTTCTAGTAGCCTGTATAATAACACTCAATTTACCAGAATACCATAAAATTAAGGGTTCTAGATGTTCTGGCACTTGGATGTTGTGTTTGAGGATTCAAGCTTGGCCTAGTGGTTTTTGATCCTGCAAATTGTATTTGCTTCATGATAGGGCCAGCCTTTTCTTTCCTCTCTCCCATTTGAAAGTCGACAGTATAATTGGAGTATCGTTGTTTGATTGTGATGCTACCAAAGATAGCAGCAATGTTAAAGTTGGAACTTCTGAAGTGATGAGGTTGAAGGTCCCACCTGTAAGCATAGAAAAGACATCAGAGGCCCTAGGGTGTGGTCCCAAGGGTGAGGACTCCAACAATTAAGTTAGCCAAGGATTCAAGGAAGCTGAGGTGGTAAGAATGCAAGAGCAGTTAAGTGTGTTAGTAAGCATAAGAGAGTTATCCAAGGCCTTGAGTCTGTACTTATAGTCAAAGTCCCCCCTACATTGGCATGGTGAGTTCTTGGTAATGGCTCCACACATTGGGCACCATTAAGATTGGGGTCATTAAGGTGATGACCACGTGGCCGAGCATTACCCTGTCATGAATTCATCAAGAGGGGCTCGGCCGAGGTCGTAACGCCTGTTATTAAGGCTCCTCATTAAGTTGATGAGGAAATGTCAAGGGTGCCCTCCGGGGTTTACATGATGACGATGTTGCCCCTGTGGGCATGCCACGTGTCCTCATATGATTGCAGGGATGAATCTGACTACATCAAGTTGGTCATTGTGGTGGCTGGGTGCTTTCATTGAAAAGGGGAGTGTCTTCCTTATTTTGGGGGAATGGTTTATTATTTATGTTAAAGGTTTGGTTTGAATGCTCCAAGTAGGGTGGGGTGGTAGTTGTCTGTTGACTGTTGTCATTGTGGTGATTTTTTGTCAGCATTTCTTGTTCTCTTTTATTTTTATGGAAATTTTTTCTCTACTATCAGAATAAAAAGTCAAATGTTTTTGTAAGGTAGCTGGTCCTTTCACTATTTGCTAAATTGGAAACTACCAACCCTGAGTTTTTCTGGATGATTCCAGTACTGTAGGGCTAGGACCTCTAATCTGTTGGCTTTTGGCTGCTAAAGTGATTAATAAAACTCTTGGTTACGCTTGTCAGAAAGGTTGACTTTTTTACATGCTATGGGATTTGGAAGCTACTTGACCAATTTAATGCGGTGTGACTACGTATTGTTGAATGTTCTCTATGTGTGCACTTTCTTGGCTGTTTTAATAGCTCAGTTTGCCCCATTCCTGATGAATACTTTTTGTATGGTTTAGCTTAATGCTTCTCTGTCTATTACTACTTTTTTCTTACATGCTTTAATCTCATATTTCCTTGGCAAAGGCACTCCCCCCCATTTACTTGTTTCTTTATTTATTCAGTAATACAAATTTTGGCTATTTGAGCTATGGTGTGAATGGTGGCTAATATCAGATATGATTAATGGTGACAAATCCTTTCTAATTTTGATCTGTCAATGATTGGATTAAGTGCAGGAAATATTTGACAGGAACATTTATTTGGTGTTGTATCATGTGAATGCAGATCTGTTCAGGAATTATCTGAAGCAGATAAGGGAAGAAACCAGTGGAAGACTACTGAGTGTTGCATACAGACCTAATGGAACTCCAAATAAATGGTGGTTAGCATTTGCAAAGAGAAAATTTATGAATGTTGTTACTCTGTAACATAAATTTCTGCATGCCCCTTTTTGGGGTCCCACAAAAGCTCCATTAAACATGTGGTTACGTTTATGGTCAATTTTTGTAATTTCACGTAGAAAATTAAATCAACAATTGAAATTTATTGTGAGGAAATTTGAAAGGATATTGTACTTTGGACCATTTTTATGAGTTAATAAAATCCTCTTTGTCAATAGTAAAAAATCTCTTATTCAACTCAACTCGTAAGCATTGTTCCAACTATATGGGGTATTGACAGGTATATTTAATCGTCTTTTCTAATTAATTTCTGCATATATTTAATCACCTCTAATTTGACAAATCAACGCCCTTATTTAATGCTGAGGTAAATGTTCTGAAAGATGGGCTGCAACTATGTCTTGCACTTAATTGGTAATGACATAATGGTGGAACGTGATAATTAATCAAACCTTGGTGCATCTCCAGAATCACGATGGCATTCCCCTTTTGAATATCTATCATCAGTTTCATGATGCGATTCAACTCAGGTCCTGGTTGAGGGTTTCCTTTCATCACATTATCAGTCAGCTCTTGCTAATTGGGGCATTGACTCAGGTACGTGTTATACTCATTTAGCTCCTTTATCTTCTCAATCACATAAAAGTGCTTTTAGTAATGAGAGTCTGCATTTCCTGTTCTCAGGTTTTGTTGGTTTCTTTTTCTTGTGTTTGGGAGGGTTGAGTGGATAAAGGTGAGATCTTTGTATTTGGTTAGGGGCAAGGCATTTCTGTCCTCCCCTTTGTTTTTGATATTACTGGTTTTATTTAATAAAAATTTAAGATCGCTGCCCCTTCACAGTTTGGGGCTAAAAAAGTATATCCATCTACCCTTCTCTCTCTCTCTCTATATATATATATGTATATATGTATGTATGTATGTATGTATGTATGTATATGTAACAATTTGAAGTTTACAGGTAGAATTTTTTTAAACCATAATAATGCTAAAAATGATAACCCTTTAGTATAGGAAATATCAACATTTGGCAAAAGGAAGCAGAGAAATTGGTCTGACCTGAATCCAACATGATTGAGTTGGGGATAAAGTTGGTAGAGTTCAATAGCTCAGTTTGGGTTAGGATTGATCTAACCCAACCTAACCTGGCCTGACTTGCACTTGGGCAATACTTGGCTCCTACCACGTTGGAGGACATATGTTCTACCACCTCTTGATTTTTAGATTTAAGCCCTAGACTCTATACTCTTAAACTCTTAAACCCTAAATCCTAAGCCCCTAAACCTTATCCCTAAGTCTTAATGTTTTAAACCCTAAAATATAAATTCTAAAGCCCTAAGAGCCTAAACCCTAACCCTAAATCTTAAACCTAAAACCCTAAAATCTAAACACTAAAGTCTAAACCCTAAGACAATCCTAACCTTAAGTCTTAAATCCTAAAAGATAAACTCTGAATTCTAAACCCTTAAATCATAAACTATAATCCCATAAACCCTAAAACTAGTGTGTAAAATACATATGGTAGGGTGTATGTCCTCCAACGTGGTATGAGGCAAGTTTTTTCTCTTGCACACCCACTACACCTTATCACAATTGTTTCTCAAAATGACATAGGTTTTACATTTTACGTACTTTTATTGGTGGTAGTATTATATCAACTTGAGAATTAAAAAAAAAAGAGTAAGAGTAATTATTTTATCATTTAGTATTTCTTCTATCGTTTCACATCTTCCCTAGATATGTCTTCCATATATGTTTTATGTATTATTTATAGTCCTTTGAACTTAAGATTTAGTGTTATTGATGTATTTTGTGATTTATATGAGCTTTCCTAGCGAATCAAGTGTATTTTTAATTACTTCACCCTATTAAAGCGTATCATGATTGTTTGAAGGGTTAGGATCCATCATATAGATGTTCGAACCATGCTAGATGGTTGGGCGAAATTTCAAAAATTTCCTAATCCTTTTGGGAATCGAATTTCCTATGTTTTGAAAAACTACATTTTTTTATGATCAGTCTTGTACTGAATCGGACCAGATTTGAAACCAAACAAAGAGGGAGATTTGTACCTGATATGGATACCACAAACATAGATCCCAAGGTGGAAATTCACGCTCAAATCAGTCCTAAAATCAACCTCCATTGAAGATGGTACAGTATATAGGTGAAGTTGATTCAGCAACACAATTTTCAGCAAAACTAAAATCCAACTGCTTGAATCGAACCGAGGATGATGAGCCTGATATCCCCTAAATTTTTATTTCAAAAATCATAGGAAAAATGGATCTATACCAGTCCCAGATAGCTGATGTTGAACTAGGAAAAACTGAGAGACAAAAGGGTATAGAGAAAACTAGAAACAACAAAAATATGAAGTCTTAGATTGGTCCACCCCCTCCTCTTTTAATGGAGCTATCTTCTAATCTAATTAGGAGATAATCTAGATCTAAATCAGACCTGGACTCTAATTAGAGATATACTTTATTTTCTTATAAGATTAGGTGCTCCATACCTAGATCCAAACCCATATTTGCCCCATGGAACATGACAACTGTCATGTGGCAGCTTAATTGATCATATTAATTATGGGCCTTATGCTCATCAGCTATAAGGCTCATGACCCAAGGGTGTTGCATGGCCAACTTAGATCTGATTTGTATGGTGTGGGACTCCACAATGACCTCACATAATTTCACATGGGTTCGACCCAGCCTCTGTGAAAAGGCTTGATCGAGTTCACTGCTAAACGTCGTGAACCCCTGAGCACATCACTATAGGCTCAATATGGGCCCAAGATTTACACTTAAATGATCATTGAATTCAGCCATCCTATAAATATCCAAGGATAATGGACTTAAGTAAAATAAAGTCCATCAAATAATCAATCCTGTAGTGGTCTCTTACACTTAACCTCTTGGCCCATAATGATCACAACATTGCCCGACAGGGAATGACCTCTCCCCTAGCTGCAAGGTACAATGTCACACTCTCTATTCAGATGGATCCCGGGAATTAAAACCTTTTGCAAATATTTTTAATAAAATATATATATATATATATCATAAATATATTTTGCAAAATCAGATTTCAAATACAATTGAAATTCACTACCGACAATTAAAGTTTCCATTAGAGAGAATGTAAACCATATCATTCACTTTGTCCGGCAAAGGGGCCGATCTTATCACTATGATCACCCACTCAGATGAATTCTCAAACTACCCAACATACCTAGGTTTTGACCCTTAATGGATCTCACTAATTGGCATATCAAAGACAGCCTAGTCGAACACCTAGTGCAGTACCATAATCAAGTCTAGGGATTATGTGTAACTTTCTAGTTTTTCCCATCAATCTCCAAGGTACAGGGCATAACTGGAAAATGGTTCGGGTTCAGTGTTTCATCCAAACACACACTGCATGTGCTTCGGGTCTAACCCTAGTAGCTGAGACAAGCTGCCCCAACTTCTTTGGCAGTACATCAGTGTCAGTTTTGAAGGGATGAGAGATCCATCATATGGATGGCCGAACCCTGTAGGTAGGTTGGGCGAAATCTCAAAAATTTCTCTCTCTCCTATGTGGGAATCACATTCTCTAATTTAGAAAACTGCATTTTCAAGGACCAATCTTGAACCTAAACCAGACCAGATCTGAAACCAAAAGGTAAGAGAGGGATATACCTGATACGGAGTAGTAATAACCCCCAACGAAGGTGTTCATGCCCAAGGAGAATACCAAAGACTGCTCCCATTGAAGATGACACAACGTAGAGTGGAGCAGAATCAGCATGATGGTTCTTCAGCAAGAACCGAATTCTTCAGCAAGAACTCGATGGAGGGCAGGTGAGCACGACTTATAATTATCTTTTCTCCCAAAAAATAATATCAAGAACTCTTCTTGATCGCTCCTATAGGTGGAAACCGAACTAGTAGAGGTGGCAAGAGCAGGAAAGGGTAGAAATCTAAAGTAGTCGAACTGCAAGATTTCTTTCTTGTGATCTGCGAACCAAAGATCTCTCTTTTTTTCTGTGTGTTTTTGGTTCGCTCCTTGCTACTCTATTTATAGCCTTTAAAGAGAGGTTCTCCTAATCCCATTAGGAGTTTCCTAATCCAAATCTTGTATTTGGATCTGGACTCTCTTTAAGAGATAAGGATAATCCCTTATCTTATCTACAGATAAAGATCAACCCTCCTAATCTAATTAGCAGTTTCCTGATCCAAATCTTTATTTGGATCTAGACTCTCTAAGTGGATAGGGATAATCCCTTATCCTATCTGCTGATTTGAATCCCAAAATTTCCCTCTTTTAATTAATCACATTAAGCTAGTTCGATCTGGTCTTTAGGCCCATTAAGTCCATTTGCTCACTTACCCTCCTATCTGCTGCCCAGTTGGATATCCTTGTGTGGCGTGGGACCCAAACATTGATTTACACATCAGCCACATGGGTTCAACCCAGCCTCAATTACAAGGCCTGGCCGAATTCACTGTAGGAGACAATGAACCCTTGAGTCCATCACCATGGGCTCTTAATGGGCCCAACATTTACACTAAATGGTCTTTAGGTCAAGCCACCTTATAAAAACCCAAGGACTGTGGGCAGATGCAAGATTAGCCCATCAGGTATTACCCTCAATGGTCTTACACTTAACCTCTCAGCCCATAATGATCAAACACTACCCGACAAGAGATGACCTCTCCCTCGGTTGCAAGGTACAGTGCTGCACTCTCTACTCACATGGATCCCAAGAATTAAAACCTTTTGCAAACAATTTAAAACCATAATATATATATGTATATCTCTATATAAATATATTTTGTAAAAACAAATTTCAATGGTTGAAATCGACTGCTGACAGTTTTGGTTTCCATCAAAGAGAATGCATCCCTGATCATTCACTTTGTCCAACAAAGGGGCTGATCCTGTCACTATGATCACCCACTCAGATGAATTCTCGAACTATCCCAACATACCCAGGTTTTGACCCCCTCTAAGGATCTCACTGATTGGCATATCAAAGATAACCCAATCCGACACTTAGTGCAGTATCATAATCGAGTCTAGGGGTCAGGTGTAACATTCCAGTTTTGCCCATCTATCTCTAAGGTCTAGGGCGATACTGGAATTCTGGTCCGATTCAGGTTTTCAAGAAAACCCACACTGCATGTACCTTAGGTCTCACCCTGATAGCTGAGACAAGCTACCCCAACCAACT